TAAATATAGTGTTTGGCAGCGATTTCTTTGAGCTTAACCTTTTGCACTTTACCGGTCACTGCCCGGGGAAAGTCGTCCACAAATTCAATGTTTTGCGGTATTTTAAAGTGACTTATCTAGGTACAATAGAAACAGACAAAAAAATATTCAATAACAACATTAGAATTTAATAACATTTTTATAGCGCTAAAATATTCTATTCAACCTGGCTAATAGTATGTTTATTACCGTATTTTCAATTGTAGACTAAATATACATACCTTTCCTTACAAAACTCGATAACCTCCCGGGGCTCTAGTGAACCGTTATTCTTGAGCCCATAACACCATCTTTGAACCTGATTGTTATATTAGCTATTATTAAATTCTAGTTATATCTTTCTTAATTTAGTTTTTTATATTTGAAATATTTTATGGTCAATGTAATCACATTAAAGATTTGTTCATTATTATTATTTTAGGATGATTTTAATTGAATTGTTAAATTATTTGTTATTTATCACAATTTCCATGTGTTTAGTTATTAGAATACAACTTTAAATGTTTTTCATTGATTGACAAAATTAAAATGATAATATTAATTTAATAACTAAAATATTTTCCATACAAATGTGTATATACCCAAACTTTTAATGATCTCTTGTCAAAATATTTTTTAAAAATATTGTGTATAGTACAGTATTTGTGACGTGTTAAACACAATAGGAAATTAATTTATTAAACATGTTTTAAATATTTAATTCATGTAATTTATTTTTTACAAGTTACAAAATTACCGGGGTCAATTAATGAATTGCCATTCAAGCACAGTAACCCCCAAAACCGATCAGTCATGTTATGCTGAATAATCCAATATGAGCGGCAATCTTGACAATCAAGTGTCCTAGGTGCTTCAGTCGAAATATCCATCAGGTTTCCAATATTCTCGTTTAAAAAGGGCAAGAATATTTGCTCGGGCACTGTTTTAAAACCACCAGGGTATTCTGTGTCCCAAAAGAAATGTACCGTGGTAGGCCTATTCGTACCAATGAGTGAGCCCACTTCGAAATTGTGCTCGCTCAAACCAGTAATTTGGTGAAACATGATATCAAACCTATTGTTCGATGCCGTGTCTATCGCGAATGAATTTGCGTGAATAGTATTGAAATACGACCATCTGAAAATAATATATTTTAGATTTTGAAAGTGTCTAATTGTGTATGATCCAAAATCTGAAAGTGCTAAATCTAGTTCCAAGTCCTCGACGTGTTTTTGGTTATCGCTAAATGAGCCAGCACCCAGTTTAAAGCTCTGCCACTCCGTAAATTTAAGTGTTTTCAAGTTGGTAAATTTATCGGCAATAGCAAAATGGGCAGGATCGTATTTTAGTGATGCAATGTCTAGGTACGTCGACACATTGTACATGTTACGAAATGCATCTGGATCTATATGGCTAATGTTATTCCAAAGTTCGATTTTGTCGAATACTATGTCAGCGAACGAATTGGCTCCGAGTTGGACAAAGTATTTACCTCCACCTAAATGAATTGAGTCAAGGTGCTTTTGGTTTGGCTTTAGTGCCTTGCTCATTTTACTAAATACCAAATCAAAGTCAATGTCAACGTTGGAATTGTAGCATTCCATGCTATTATCTTTACAGGTGCATGGCTGAATAATAGTTAAGTCATCAGGGCAATCACCAATTGCTGCATTAAATGTAGTGAGCAAAATAAGAAAAGCTGCTGGATAAAAATAAGAAAACATTTCATAATTATTTTAATACACTTAATATAGTAATAAGTGGACATTAAATTGTAAAAATAATTTTTTAAGCAACTTGTAATAAATTATATAGCTACTCTAATATAGTATTAAGTTACTATTAAATAATGTATTAACTAATAATACATTACTATTAATTAAAATAAATAATTTTTTACCTGACAATTTTGTTGAAATATGCATTATTAATTGAAATATTAAAGTTTTATTTTAATTTTACTTCTAAAATAATAAAGTACTGTGCATAAATTTCACATTGTTTATATACTATTCACCAAGTTCATGAAATCTATGTAATTATCTTTTAAGATTATTTTAGATGTTATTTTAATATTCTAAAAAAATATTGCGGATGTGAATTTTATTATGTAATACAGTATGTGTTTTACTAATTTTAATATTTGATTACAATAAAAATAATGTTTTCTATTTATTGATAACATGTATTATTTTAAGCACCTGTGTATAAATACATTGATAATTTTTACCTTATTCCCGCGCAATTAACTATAGTGCTATAGTATAACCCTTTTCACGAAACTGCTCTAATGATAAATTACCGGTATTTCATTTTGACTTAAGTTAAAAATAATGTAATTTCTGTTAATTATCACAGAATTGGATGGTTAACATTAAAATACTTTAAACAGCTTATATCTGTGGCACAGATTATGTGCTATTAACTATTCTCAAATATATATACATATATATATATATATATTATAAATTATGGTCTAACTCATGTTCTGATTCAACTGAATAATCAGGTTTTGGCTTTTCGAATAACTTGAAAAATTTAATTGATAATTGTAAATACCTAAAATATAGAAATCTAAGCCTATAAATAATATTGGTAGAATAATGTAATTATATACCATAATTTACAATATTAGTTGGAAAAATGTAGTTAATTTGACATAGTTTCTCTAACAATATAAAAGATATACTTTTAAAAGTATATTGAATTCAGTACGGCATCCCGATACATTCTGTTACATAAAAGCAGTCTCATCAAATAAGCTTTTTATTGCATGGTGCTATTTGTTAGGAACTACGGTATGATAAATTATTTAATGTTGGATCTTGAATTTGTTGATATAAATATGTTAAACAAATATTGCTCCTAATATTGATATCTACTGTTCCGCAATGAATTGATAAATGATCAGTATCAATTAAAAGTGCAATATATATTTAAAATACCATTTAATTTTGATTATCGTATTAGTATTAAATATTCAAGTTATTTGTAATATTTTATAATTTTAAATAAATTTAAATACGATCTTTAACTTTCAGCTTGCATAAACTTTGGGAATTACAGTGGTATGCTTATTAAAATTTTGAATTATATTTCTGAATTATATTATTATATATGAGTTAAAAATCTAATCTCCCATGGGTACACCTTTATTATTTTGTTTACTGCAGTTATATGAGAATTCGCAGGTGACACTAATTTGAGTATTGTATATAAATAACGGATAAATTTTGTCATTTATTAAAAATTATATTCCATTAAATAAATAATTATAATATTGATATTTTATTTTTGTTTGCAAATAACAACTATAATGTTACTGTATTGTAAGTATAGAAATAGATTATATTTATTAGCATATTACACTTTATTGATGAACTGCACACTAGATCCCAGTTCATTGTTTGGTAACTCTGATAAAAAATTACTAGCTAATTTGTATTGTATACTGTAAATACTATTATTAAAATTAAAAATAACTTTCTTTTCTAATATTTATTTCAGTTATGTACATTTCATTAATTGCAAGTAGCTCGCTCGTTTATGGTAAATGTCCAGACGATTCAAGTATCATAGCACCATGCGGATGTAGAGATAATAAAATAACTTGCTACACGTCCGTAACCGACTTTGATTTAATATTTTCGAAACTGAGCATGGCACTTAAACCCAATGAGAAACTCATTGACAAATTCGAGTTATATGGATTAAATGCCCCGAATAAAATTAACGCAAATAGCTTTGCCGACATAATATTCGACAAAATATACTTTTACAACTGGGTCGAGTATGTCCACCCTGATGCATTCAGCAAAATGTACAATATATCCAGCGAGGTCAGTATATACGCCAACAACCTAGACAATATCATCGTGAATATACTGAACAAGTTCAATAATTTGACTGTCATGGGGTATGAATCGCAAGCTAAATCATTACCCTGGGACTCATTTACCAAAAACCACGACCATGTTACTAAATTAGAAGTTGGTTCGTACGTGACCGACCTTAACAATTACACATTCGCAAATTTTCCCATGCTCACTTCATTGACAATTTTCTCGAATTACCTGGAGCACATACACCCATTTGCATTCGCTAGTAATTATATAGCTAGTACCAGATTGGACATAGTGTTTAACGGCAGTCCAAGATTTAACGAAGATGCTTTCGAAGTTAACTCTCTAATATCCACGAATCGACCCACCACAATTCACCTGCAATTCCCTGAAACAAAAGGTTTCAAATATTTGCCCGAGCAGATATTTTTGCCCTTTCTAAACAGCAATTTTGACAATCTGATCGAGCTGAGTATTGAGTATAAGGATCCGAAAACGAGTCACACGTTTGACTGCCAAGATTGCCGGTCCTATTGGCTTAAAAAGCATAATATGCTAAACAGACTTTGGGAAGTGGCATGCTCCAATGGAAATACACTCAACAATCCTGATAATTTTAAAGATTGCGTATAAAAATATATTATTAATGTTTTTATCAATAAACAATTATGCTACAAATGTTTCTATAAATGAACCAATCAAATAAAATTATTGACAATAAGTTCATGATGTAACAATTAATTTACAACTTACGGTAATATTTTTAATATTTTATAGATTTTGTATTTAGTGGTGTTATAAAAATCATTATTATATCTAATGGTTTTATATTATTATAATTATTTCTATGAATATTAATCTAAATATGTGAATGAAATTGTTTTACATCCTTATATTATGTAATAATTTTATTAAATATCAATATTTTTAATTAATTAATTAAAATTTTATTTAGCAATCACGAGGTTCCTTGATACTTTTACAGTCTATTGATAAGTGACTTAAATCAATTATATCATATAATTTATAAATATAATATAAGCTGGTGTTATTTAATTTTAAATGTACAGAACAAATTTTTTAAAAACAATTATCATAAAAATTAAATTAGACAATAAGTTGATTGATATCAAAATTAATGTAGCATGACAAAATTATTATTCACAATTTATTAAATAAAATTGATTTTAAATGTCTATTAAATATAGCGTTTGGCAGCGATTTCCTTGAGCTTAACCTTTTGCACTTTACCGGTCACTGTCCGGGGGAAGTCGTCCACAAACTCAATGTTTTGCGGTATTTTAAAGTGACTTATCTAGGTACAATAGAAACACAAAAAATATTCAATAAAAAAAACTATTAAATGTAATAACATTTTTATAGCATTAGAATATTATATTCAACCCGGCTACTACTTTAGTATGTATATTATTTTTAATTGTATAGAAATTTTTAGGCCAAACATACATACCTTTCCCTTACAAAACTCGATTACCTCCCGGGGCTCTAGCGAACTGTTATTCTTGAGCTTAATATAGGCGACCAAATCCTCGCCAAACCTTTTGTGAGGAACTCCTACCACCTATTGGTTGGCAAACATAATGTCATTACATTTAACACCAAATACTCGAAACAATAGTAAACTGTTTTACGTGAGCGTCGGCTACGGACGGGTGGCTCATCAGGAAGTCCTCAATCTCTTTGGGGTATATATTCTCTCCGCCCCTTATTATCATCTCTTTGATACGACCGTTGATATACAGATACCCGGATGAGTCCAGGAATCCCATATCACTTCAAATATATGTCAAGAATTCGTATAAAATTATTATATTATTCTCTATAAGGGTATAAAATACATGTTATCTAAAAGTTAACATGGTATTTGTAAATAATCTCGCTCTCTGTAACTGGTTATTGGTTGCCTAGTGTGTAATTTTTAAATTAACATCAATTTTAAACTATTTGTTAAAACAGTATAAATTAAAAATCGACACAATTTCACATAAATATTTAGTTTTAAAGTTATATAGGATAATAAATTTATATTATTGTAATACAAAATAGTATTTAATACATAATGTTTTTCGCAAACATTTTAATTATATTTAAGCAGTGATTAAGTAATGTAATACTGTAATTAAAACAGTTATATTTATGAATGCCTGTCCACTTGTATAGCCTATACCAGTGTAAGCCAAGTGGGGGAAGCAATATGAATTCATTGGTGTGTTCAGATTAGTACGTAACATTGAATATGAATGAATAAAAATATATATTTGTATGCAAGCACTTGTAGTTGTGATGAAAACGGCAGCTAATGATGACAACACTTATGTATTAATTAGTGTTTCAATCAATAGATGTTCACAAATTAAAATAATATTTTATTATAACTTGAAAGTGATATTACGGGCTATTCTGAAGTATTGCGGTTGTATATAGATGGACCCACATAAGTTACATTAGTAAACGAAACGTATGCTAAGTAAACAATGACTAGTAGATCGCCCAGGTTTGCCTTAAACAGGCAGCCATAATTTAATGATTGGACTTTAAGGATTTTCTTATTAAATATGAAAGTACATTCAAATAAGAGTCCAAATATCTTATTTATATTGTCATGTAACCTCAGGTTCAACCAGAGTTGACCACTTTATCAGGAAATGTTTCCGTTGTAAATATGGACATGTAATATATGTGATATATCGATTTGATACAGAATTTTACACTAAATATGTTAGTTTAAATAAAAATTTAGAAATCCTAAGACTTAAAAGAAATATTGTAGTTTTTAACATTTTTCGTCACTAATTTGGCATTTTTTCATTATTACTTAAGTTTATAAATTTTGTACATATATCATTGTATTCTCTATTAAAATCCCTATTGAATTGCGATGTCACATGCCCATATTTATAACGGAAGCATTTCCCGATAAAAGTGGTCACTGCGGCCGAATCCGAAGTCACAGAACAATATAAATAAGAAATTCGGAATCCTCTTTGAAAGTACTTTCATATTTAATAAGAAAATCCTTAAAGTAAAACATTAAATTATGGCTGCCTTTTTAAGGCAAACATGGGCGATCTACTAGTAATTGTTTAGGTTCGTTTACATTAGGGGCCATTTGTATACAGCCGTAATACTTCAGAGTCGCCTGTAATATTGTATGACTTCCAAATTACAACTTGGTCATTCCCCCATACCTTCCTCTCACTCTACGTACTAATGTGAATCACACATATGAATTCATATTCCTTTCCCCCCTTGGCTTACACTGGCCTATACAGTGTAGGTGAGGTTAAATGTGTGAGTGTGTGTGTGTGTGAGAGAGAGAGAGAGAGAGGGAGGGAGAGGGAGAGAATAATTTCTAATACCTATAAAATGTAAGAATTAAGACCAGAATATACAGAATATTCTGTATAACACGTAAACACATACCCCGTATGATACCAATGATTAGCATCAAGCACATCCCGGGTCTGATCCATTTGATTGTAATACCCAACGAACGTACAGTGCCCTCGAATGCATACCTCGCCCGACACGCCTGTCCTCATGAGAGCACCGGTAATCGGGTCCACGATCTTGATCTCCAAGTGCTCGATGGGACGGCCGACTGACTCGAGTCGATGTTTGGGTGAATCGTGAATGGATGTATGGCTCACCACTGGACTACATTCGGTGCTCCCGTAGGGTATCTGTGGACAGGTAGGTGCGGGGAAAGGGTACAGTCACATAACTATTTTATAGCATTTATTTTATAAATAATTTACCAGGATATGTTCACAACTAGGTATTTGTTTATGAATTTGATCGACTAGTGGTGGTGGACAGGGAGCTCCAGACATTATACCTTGATAAAGTAATTTTAATATTTATTGTAAAAACTGCAATAAAATATTTCGCATAAAATATTAGCGATTATATGCAGTATTGTATAGTTTTAAGTCTAGCTATAAGTTTCATATAAAGAGTGTATATAAATATGATTATAAATATGTGTGTGTATTATAAACAAGCACTTAAAAGTGTAAAAGTGGACTATAACCATAAAATACCCGGGTACAAACAGCGCTGTATCATATGAGTGTGTAAATACCGGTATATAAGGACATTAAATAGCATAAAAGTCCTATTGTAAAATTTTTGGTGTATTTATGCTATGTATTACTAGTAACTGATTGTAAGTTAAATAATTTTTTGATTATTATATAAGTGTTGATAATATTTGTGTACCTCTTTTTAAGGAACTGGTGTCGTATTGATTGAGATCAGTGTTCAACATATCGATATACATGGTAGGCGTTCCGTATATCATATCGCACCTAATTTAGATAATTAGAAAAATTAATTATTATTTTATACACATTTCATATATAATGTTAGATATAATTTTTAAAAACAAAACTAAACTAGTTACTTTTGCCAAATACAATTATAATAATATTATAAGTAGAGCTAATATTTTATAATACAACTATAATTTTATATGAACTACAATTTTAATTAATATTATTTAATTAATATAATACTTATGATTATGAATTGCTTCCAGTGTTTTATGGGGATTGAATACCGGTGCCGGTAATATCATGGTACCCCTTCTCAGGGCTATTAACAGGGAACCCAATACGGATCCAAAGCAATGGTACAGCGGGTTGGGTACGCATACCCTCAGCCCCTTAGGGTCCAGTCCCTCGAGTGAACGTTTGCCTACAAACCAGGCATTCTGTATAATACTATGATGGGTAAGGGTAGCCCCCTTTGGGTGGCCAGTGGTGCCCGATGTGAACTGGATGTTTATGGGGTCGTCAAACTGTATGGTGGGGTCGTCGCCGGGGAACTGGTGGTCAGGGGTCAGCAAGTCGTCAAAACGGGTTACATGTGTGGGCGCGATGTCCGGCTCATTGGGCGCGCTGTTTATCATTACAATATTCTTGAGGCTCGGGATTCTGTGTTAGAATAAAATATATATTAAATATAATTGTATTTAAAATTAAACTAGGTTGTTCTCATCTAGTTTGTGTAAATACAGGATAAGTTTTAAAATTATTTAATATACAATGTTAATTTTTATTATATTCTGATAAATGTTGTACTAGTATTGTGTAATAATTTTTTATAATATTATAGAATACTAATATTAATAATTAATTATAATATAATATAATTCATTATACTTTAATATAATATGGTAATAATGTGAACAATGTTTTATTTCCTAAATATAATATAAATTAAAAATACTACAAACTCATTTTAGTAACTTATTAAATATTATGAAATAATTATTATACAAAAAACATTGTTTTTAAAAAAAACTTTTGCAAACTAATGGTTAAATTCAATGTCATTATGTAAATAGCGATATAATAATTTATTAGTATTTTACCAATAATTTTAGTATTAATTTTTATAAATCACAAAAAATGCCTAAATATTATGCAATTTCCAAATAAATTAATTAAAATTCAACAATGTTATACATACTTGTCGCAATCAATAACCTTGCTATTTTTGTTGCCCAAAAGTTCAGGTGAAATATCATTCAATATCTCGCAGTAATTACTGGACCGAAACCTTTGGCTACATATTAGCGTATGACATCCCACCAAATTTAAGGCATACTGGAGCTCACTGGCCCGGTAGCCCGGGTTCACGTTAACCTAATAATAAAATAAATAAAAACAATTAATTAAAAAATATTAATTATTTTTTTTGCTCACAATTCATACCATAATAGCGCCGATCTTTGCGGTGCCGTATTGGGTGAGTAGCCATTCGTAGCAATTGGGGGCCCATATGCCCACCCGGTCGCCCCGACCACATCCCAGTCCCCTCAGACTCATTGCCAGTTTATTAGCCTTGTTCATAATTATTTATATAATGTTTTTTAATTACATAAACAAAACTTATTAATAGATTGTGAGTGCATAAACTGATTAGATTATTAATATAAATAAATAATTTAAATAATTTAGATAATAAATTGTGCAATATGCTAGCTATGTCAAAATTATTACATGTATAATAATCTATAGTGGTTAAGTTTACGTAAATTCATGTATATTAATATATTATATTCAAATATCCTAGCACAGTATATCAGTTATATTTTATAATTATCTGGTTAATTAATTGTAATTATAAAATTTTATTTACCTTTTGATAGTAAAATAAAATTTTAAACTTAATATGAAATAAGATTTTCTAGACTTACGTCGGAATTGAGTTCGCCATAGGTTTTGCTGATATTTTGGTGGACAGACACCACTGCCGTACGGTCGGGCGAGTCCTCGGCACAGGTAGCTATCAGTTGACCCACAGTTTGGGCCGACAGGGGCTCCAGTGAGGGCTCAAACACATAGCTATAGCCACCGGATATCCAACGGTTTAAACAATAGTTTTTGATACGAAACACTTGATTGTATTTATAATGAATATTATTTGCGAAACACTTTTTCATAGCAAACATTATTACAGAATATTTGCAATTATAATTATAATAAAACAATTTTAATACAGATTTATCTAGAATTCATCGTGATAAAAAATAGTTACACGGTTAAAAATTATTGTTTATACATAACAACAAAATATTGTTTTCATTATAAACAATGGTTTTGTAAAATGTTTTTTGCAAGTGTTTTGCTGATCACCACTACATATGAATGTACGATTAATGTTGTGTTTATGCTGCGAGACTACCTGTCCTTCGGGCTCTGGTATAGTAGCCTTGAGTGAAATAAAGAGGCCATACATTCAACAGGAATACAGTATGGTATATACAAGTAGATGGATAGCCAGCCAGCCCTCAAAACATACAGCTCCCGGCTATCTATCAACTCACATGGATATACAGTATATCACATACAGTACCAGTAATTAAAAACACAGCAATTCTTAGATCCCTACGAAAAGTCTAATAAATATTTATTTTGTTATTAATAACTTATTATTATTAAGCATAAAGTTTTCAAACATTTTATAAATTGCATACAAAATGTAAAATATTTTCTATTATAAATAATGTATAAGTCATGTAAAGTCTGATTGTGCTTGCTTATTCATTATAAAAGTTTAATAAATGATTAATAAGTTTACAAAACACTGAAAGATAGCTAATTTATATGAAAATATTTTTCACGAAAATTTTGTTTTGTTTATTCATTAATTAAAATTCAGTGACTTTTGGCCGGACTTGAGAAACGTGTTAAACATGAGTAGTGCGGCGCCGGCCTTATCCGTGGGCACCATATGTCCCGATCCCCTGACCGTCACAAATGCCAGCCTATCGTACACCTTATAAAAGCCGGCGACTTGGTTGTCATTATACCACACGTTGTAGTCCTTAATTAGGGGCAGAGCCAGGTCCTCCACAAACCTTTAAGTAATTTATAAACATATTCACAAAATATTCATTACAATTAATTTATGTACTTAAACTTTAATTAATTTTATAACTTTAACTAATATAATAAAAATAATTAATTTAATATAAATAGCATGTAATTTTTCACTATTTAATTTAACTATGTAATTACTGCAATAGAGTATACCTAGATAAGTTTAATTAGCAATATCTTATTATTATTATTATCTACTTGTAGTTAGTTATCTAGGTATCTACAGTATAATTATTCACAAATATTTATTAATTATATTAATTGCCACAAAATAATAAATAATTTAATATCCAAAATTCTTAATATTTATGTTATCAAGTTACGACAGCTTACTATATAACCAGGGTCATGATAAACTGTATTACCAGGGTATACATTATATCATACCATTCATCGCCCAGGAAATTACACGCCATATCCACGTCGCCATTATATACCATACCCTTAAGGTGTCGGTGCGACCCGAGCAGCTCCAGTACCTGTTCCCTCACCGACTTATATATATTAGTATAGCCGGCCATCACCGCCACACTACACGACGTCCAGTCCCCCACCGGCTCCGGTATGTGTAGGGCTGTGCGCACATCCGGCTGATTGATCCAGTGTTCCACATAACTGGCGTCTATACAGGGAGGGGTGACCCCCACACCATCCCCTACCTGTCCCTCAACCGACATATTCAACGTCCGGTACATGAGTTGCCTATCAAACGATTCGCGCGAATACTTGCCGGTCGTGTTGAGAGCGCCGGTAGTTTTGAGGCCATGTTTAGGCTGTTGACAGTCGGCGTACAGGTTATAGATATTGAGACCCGGCTCCGATATGAAACCCGTGGCCCGTGCTATGGCTGACTTGCAGGGAGTCGACCCGTTGCCCACGAAATCGCATCGACCGGTGCTGTTGTCGACCGACACTCGGCTACCGTTACTCAGCGGACAGCAGGCGTCCCATAATTGAGTCCATACGGG